AGGCAACACAATGCCATATATAGATGATGTATTATAGAAATGTACACTTTAGAACTATATAATTTTACTAACCAATGCTACCCTAATAATTTAATTTTAAAAAAGAAAATTTTAACTACACACGTGGCTCATATTATATTTCTATTGGATTGATGGAATGGAGAATGGCAATATTCTCTGAAGCTTCCTTTTAGAGGTAAGTACCTTCTAGTGGCAAATATGGAAAAGATTCTCAATGCTAGTGTTTAGTCTTCCATCAAGCTAGCATGGCTTTTTTTTGGTTGTTTTGTTTTTCCTTTTCCCCTCAGATGGTAGGGGGCTGATGTTTTGACAATTAGGATGTCCCCATTCAACATGTTAAGTACCTATGTCTCTTATCATTAGATTAAAGCATGTCTTAATTTTTTTCAAATGCAAACCTGTCACATATGAAGGGCATCCTTCCCACTCGGTCCGGTCCCATCCATCCATCAAAAATCTGAGTCTTAATGTCTGGGCTTTCACCAAATTGCAATACAATGGCATAACCAATGTGGCTATTCTTGCATGGTATCAGTAAAAACTACCAAAATCATGGTAATTATGTGGGATAAAAGAAATAGCATTTATCAAATTGAAGATTTTTAAGGCAAATGGAACACCATATTCTAATAATAAACTAAGGCGTGTTTTATTGCTCTGGCAAAGTTTACACAAAGTGATTATTTGACTCCCTGTAAGAATCTTGAGTTTAGGCTCCTTTGACTTTCCACAAAATACCTGGCCTAGTTTTGAGCTTCTATTGGGTCATCAGAAATGTCATGACACAGTTTTGCAATGAAAAACATAGAAAAATACGTCATGACTTTTCTGACGACCCAATAGATTCTCAATACATACAAGAAATACAGGGTATAGACTCCACACTAATAAAGGTAAACTTTTTTTTTAAATGTTAGAGACCCCAGAAATATACCATCATGTCATTCTTTTCCAAACAGGTCATTGTTCCCATTACCCTTTAACACTTTATAGTATTTTCTTTCTTTGACAATATTGATATTATGACGTGATTATCTTTTAAGTAAACTTTTGCAGACTTCTTTGCAGGGAGGTTAGCAAACATTTCTGAATTTCTTTGTATGGCAAAAAAAAAGCTGAACTTTTATAAACATGCTCTTCATACAATCACTCAGACAGACATTTAATGCATCAATCCAACCCAGCTGGCACTAAATGGAACACCATATTCTTAGCAAATATAGGGTAAATTAGTGATACATCATCACTAGATTCTGTGCTTTCAGTAACTTTTCTAATACATGTGTGCCCTGCTTTAAGAAAGGGTGTGTTTAATGCATTACAGAAAAATCAGGGCATTACAAATCAGGTTTGACACACAAGCAATCCCTTCGCTACATGAAAAAGAAAAGTCAGGGGTTCTAATCAGTTATTTGCTCCAAATCCAATGTTTTAATAATTTTGAGAAGGAAGATCTAGTCATTGAACTTGTGTAAGATGGCCTGGGGCCTGTAAAGGTCAGGTTACAGTTTTCACTGCATTCAAGACAACCAGAAAGATTAAATACAACTTTTAGAAGAATCTTCATGTTTTCTCTCATTCATATCTCAGTCAGTGGGTTTCACATTTCCAGAATTTGTTACACCTGTGTTGTCCAATATGGTAGCCACTAGCCATATGTAAAATATATTCACAATTATGATCAATTTCCATGAGACCTTCATTCTTTCCAACTCTCCCTCCAATAACAGAGTGAGGTTAAAAGCTACCGTTTTTGGCTATTGAATGCATGGTGATCAAATCTGTAACCATTACCTCAGTAGTACTATTTTCTGTGACTGACTCTGATTTTATCTACAAGACTGGGTACAAATAAGTTCAAAGAGACAAAGAGACAACATATTATTTAAGACAACTAACGTTTTATAAAGGAATACTCATGTATATAATCAAGAGCATCAATATGGTTTAAAAAGCAATTGTTACCTTAGCACCCACTAAGAAATCAAACAACAGAATGCATTCTCTGACATATTTATTACAAGTATACCTTGATACACTAATGTAAATGAAGATGATAAATACAGTAGAAATTTAATATATTGGTGTTGGGGCAAGGTGACAAACTGGGTGTCACAGTCAGTGAGATAATGTTTATCATTGTACTCACACCAAACATGATTTGATCTGTCGTAATTGCATCTGAGACCACATATTAGGGTGCTTGATAAAGGGGTTTTATTGTTTTTCAAAATTAATTATCCTTTATTTTAACCAAAAGCCCAAATAAGGAAAGTTAGATAAATTAAAACATAGGGTTTTTACACACTACGCTGATGATCAATAATTTGAAGCCCAAGGCCCTCTTGAGGAAATTCTCTTTCTGGTTTGCAAAAGCTGTGGGAGACCATTAACATTATAAGGCCAGTTACAGAAAATATTGATCTCTAATATGTCATGGTCTCACACCCGAGGGGGCCTTATGGACCTGACTTAATGTGCAGGCCCAATTATAGGACAAGTCAGCTCCAAGTATTTCACACATTTATAAGCACAGGAACTATTGTATCCACCACTGGATAAAGCTTCTGGGTAGCCACCGAAATCAGGCAAATGGTATGATAATCCAAGGTGAATGGTGAGGTTAAGCCTTCCACACTAAAAGCAGTTGAATATGGTACAACCATGAACATGGGAAAAATCTCAGAATTTGAACAGGTAAACAAAACCAGGATGGACCCAACTCAGGTAAGTAAAACTGCCAGATTGCCAAAAGAAGTTTTTCAAAGGAGACTTCTACAGAACTCATTTGCCCAGCTGGAGTAAATAAATCTCAACTGATATATTTTTTCCCAAGCCACAGCTGAGAGTTTGATTAACTGGGAAACAGCAGAGTTAAATGACATTACATTCTTCAGTCACCATTCCAATTTTAGTATCTGCATAGAGAAGTACAGAGTTACACTGAGATTGTGTATGCTGAGGAATTCCACTAGATTAACTCCCATGAAAATTATTAACCTTTATAAGTAATTTTTACTTTTTCTCTCAAGGATAGATTTCAACTTTCACTTTTACATTGGTTGGGAAGACTTCCTTTGTCGCTTGGTTGTGTATTTGGAGAAAGCAAATCCAGTGGCACTTGTGAAGGCTTAGAACATAAACCAAGATTAGAAGTAATGGAAACACAGCTAAGTTTAACTTTAATCACAAAATCACAACTAGAAATTCATTTGCATATCTTAGCTAAAAAACCATTACATTTTTAACCAATCAGCAAGAATGTGCCATAGATTTTAATGTTCATAAACTAGAATTTTTCATATAAATACAATATTTATAAATATAGCCTTTATTTGCAAAATTATTATTCTTAAAACATTTCTTTCCAACATGTTTAAAATTTTCACGTGTTGTAAGGGAAAACAGCCTATTTTAAAATGTACTACTAAACTTTAATAATGTGTGATTAAACCAGTGCCACCAAACTAAAAAAGAAAAAAAAAAGAAACATACTGCTGTGTTAGATATGTACTCATTACTACAAATAATGTTAACACACGTCCTATACAGTGATCATATACATGCTCGTTTCACTTCTCAGTCATTGTCAGAACCATTTGGAGGTAAGAAAATCAATGCATCATTGAAAACATGCCCAAATGCCCTAAGACGGTATACCCCATACATCATCACATGCATCTGATTAGGAGTCAGTCCATTAAAAGTAACAGCCATATCTGAGCAACATCCTTCTACTACCAGGTTGGGGTGATTAGTCATTGCCTCTTTAATAAAAAGCCCAACAGACTTGGTATTAAATACATCTTTTCTTTCAGAATCTTCTGCATTTTCTGCAAACACTCCAGCATATTTCAGGCAGACTGCTAGCTGCTTATCTTCAGATATCTTCCAAATCATCCCTCCCTGTTCAGGACACTTTTCAGGGACACTGAGAAGGCTGTTAAGTCTTTTCATTGATTCTATACTTAAGACAATTCCTCCTTCTATACTCACATATTCAAAGTCTCCAGATTTTATAGTGTGGCCCAGATAGAAAGGTTGTGATGGATCCTTTTTTAACAAAAAATACTTTAAGTTTTCAATAATAGCAAACGTTGAGGGGCGTGCAAGGAAGAACCAGTTGTACTGGTCTTTATATTTATCAAAGGAGTATTTGTAAGCTTGTCTCATTATTAACCACATGTCATTCGTTTCCATGTTAATTGACTCAAACACTTTAACATTTTCAGAACTGAAGAACTCCGCTTTGTCACAGTGTTTGGTCCAAGTCTCCTTCACTGCAGCCCAAAGACTCACATCTTTGGGTTTTACAAGGATGATACAGTATACCCGAAAGCTCTTACTGAGCTCCATGCGTTCATCCTCTGAAATTTTCAAGATATCTTCTTTATTAGGAGCTTGTAGGTGATGATGCTCATGGTGGTACATTCTATTTCCATAACCAATTCTAATGTGTCCTAGCATAGTGATCAAGGCACAGAAAATGCTTCCCAGCATCACACCCTTCAAAAATGAACTGCTTTCAGAAAGCATTTTTCCTATAAAGAAGAAAAAAATCCTTAGGATACTTAAAAGAAAAGAATTAGCCTCATGATTTGATTTGGTATTCCATATATATTTACATTTTGCTCTTAACATTAAAGGTTCCCAAGTTTGAAATAGAGTTAGTTGCATGTAGTACCAAAGGGTCTACGAATAATTAGCTTCCAATTTATACTGTTCAGTATAAACTGGAACTTTGCAGCAACACCTATGCAGAATTTTCTGGGAGGCTATTTTTGTACTTCATCTATGGGGATTTAATTAACCAAGTACTAAAAGCACTAACCCGAGAAACCAATGTTACATAGATTATCTGTCCATTATGCTCTTTAAAGGAATTTCGTATCACAAGCTTGCATTATATTACTTAAATACCTCTTCAGATATATTTACATCAAAATCTTAAATTGAACCTACAATTGGCAAATCAATGGTATCTGTGCTGGCATTTTTGTTCTCAACCTAGTGCTCTATTTAACTGATGACTGTTGTCCTTAGGTGTTTTTTTTTTTTTTTTAGCTGAGCCATCCTGCTACCTGTTGGCAGCTCAGCGGCTGCTCAGCTCGGGCTGGACTCGAACCGCTGTTGCTCAGAGCTCACACTCTTGAGCGAGCTCTTAACCAACTGAGCCACTCGGCCGGCCCGTCCTTAGGTGTTTTGAGTATATCTAAAGCAAGTTTCTTGAAATTGACACAATGCATGTTAATATTTACCCTATTGTTCCTAAGACTAAATGATTTCCAATACAGTATCCCAACTAACTGATGTAATTAAAGCCCACGATGAAAATACAATAGTTCAGTTATGTGGATGAGAACTGATTCAATACAGGCACATCTGGGGAACCATTAATTAATATTTTTATTTCCTCCAAGGCATTTTCTTATTCTTTGGGGAAGTAAAAGGGGAAAAGTCTACACTTTTATTTAAATTAGAAATTAAAAGAAAAGCCAACATTAAATAGAACTGTTGAGATTTTCCCAATCTCCTCTCTATCTCCACAAGGAATGGTGTACTTAGCTATTGAGATTTTCCCTTTGTCTCTTAAAGTTGAAAGGGTTCTTAGAAGCTACCTAATGTAATTTCTCTCATTTTACAGATAAGGAAAGGGTCCAGGGAGTTTAAGTAACTGACCCAAAGTCACACAGTTAGTCAGTGGTAGAACTGAACTAGAAATACATCTCCTGACATCAGTTTAATGCCATTTGTATTACAGAATAATGATCTCAACGGTGCATCTATTGCCCCTAGCTGTTTGAGAATTTATCAAGAATGTATTGACATTATCCAGAATTTAATAAATAAGTTACTGCATAACCTTGTTTTCCTACAAATGAAAAAAAAATGTGGGATTTGTTAACCGTAATTGACACTTTGGACACATCACTATACTGCCACAAGGAAACCATCTCTTGATTTTCTTCTACAGGAAATGGACTTTGACTTCTACTAGAAGGAGAAGGTGTTGAATGTCTTGGCAGATGTAATTCCTGAGTGGGGTTAGGGGGTGGGGAAAGAGACAGGATGGTTTTCCTGTGTCACTCACAGAACTTAGTCATAAACACAGCTCTAAGAAGGAAAAGAGAATTGACAGGATACAAACTCTGCTTAATATTAGAATTGTCAGATGCACTCTAAAATTGATTTAGATAGAATTTTCGCACTTCATATTATGCAATTTTCATTATTTCTGACTAATATGATACTTCACACGTGTCTCTTAGCTTAATAATGCATACATATGTCAGAATTCTTCCCGATGGGGATACTACTTATGGCTTATTTGCACCAATTATTATAAGGAGATCGTTTTTTTTTTCCATCAGGATGGCAAAAAAATGTAACACGGGAGATGTACATGATAGAATATCTGGTGCAGAGAAGAGTGAAACTTAAAACTGCACACAGGCACCAATAAAGCAGAAAGTACCAGTAGTTTTTGAAATGCACTTTTTAGAAGGTGAAGATGGTTGGGGTGGGGTATGGAAAAGGGAGGAGGACGAAATGTAAAACAGAAGAGGGAGGACATGGTCACCTCAAGACCCTATTGGGGGGCCAAGGAGGGGCTTCAGGAAGGCGGCTCTCGGTCGAGCCACCTCACCACTCCTCCCACTGTACCTGCCCGGGTACACCGTGTAGAGCATGCTGGGAGTGGGCCAAGGCCCAGGCCATCCCCAAAAGATGGGCGGGGTCGGGCCGCTCCGGGGGGGCCGCTCCAGATGCAGGCCGATGCCCCCAGCACTCACCTGCGTCTAGAACGGCTCAGGGGCGGGAAAGCACAGCCGCGCACGGCTTTCCTTTCAGCTTCGCGCGCGTCCCCCGGGTATGCTACTGGTCGGGCTGCTCTAGATACAGGCGGTGTCGTCTCGTTGGTTTCGCTAAAGGGGGGTAGGGCCAGGAAGTGGACGCCGCGACAGCGCAGGCAGCGGGGCGGGGCGAACGAGCCCTCGGCCAGGCGGAGCCACCGGCCCGCGCAGACGTCGGAAGGACTGCGCGCACGCACGCAGCACGCACGCAGCACGCACGCAGCACGCACGCAGCACGCACGCAGCACGCACGCAGCACGCACGCAGCACGCACGCAGCACGCANGCACGCACGCAGCACGCACGCAGCACGCACGCAGCACGCACGCAGCACGCACGCAGCACGCACGCAGCACGCACGCAGCACGCACGCAGCACGCACGCAGCGCGCCCTTTCTCCCCGCCCTCTGCTGGGGGCAGAGAGGCGCGTCCTGCTGGCGTGATCCGCGTGTTCGTCTGTACCAATGGGACGCTCAGAGAGGTAGGTGTGCGTGCGTAGGACCTGCTGATACCTCCCACCTCTTCATTTTCTGGGCGTGGAAGCTGCGAGCGCAAGGAAGAGCAATGCTGGTTGTAGCTCTTGTGGCAGACCTTTCAATGGTCTCTCTAACGTACTTCTCCGTCACTCCTGAGCTTGCGCCACAATGCAAACCACTGAAATAGTCTTCGCATTATGAAGGCAAGGATTCACTCTGGCTATTGGAATGACATCTGAAGCTCCACTGTCTGGAATCCAATCCTGTCTTCACTGTGCCCTTTGGTATGCTGGGAAAGTTACTTCACCTCGTTATGCTTCAGTTCCCTCCTTTGTAAAGTACAGAAAATATCACGGTAGTGCTGTCTCATAGGAGGTTAAATGGGAGCGTGCATGTGACTCCATCAACAAAAGGCCAACCATAAAGTAAGCATTTATGAATTTTGGCTATTATTTTTCACCCCTGTATTACTAGCACTTAGCCTAGTGCTAGCCTGTAGTAGACAATACATATTTTTGGAATTAATGAATGCTAGAGCTACAGATGAGGAACCAGGACCAGAAAAGATAAGGCACTTTCTAAGTGCCACAGAGAAATTAATGGCAGAGGTAGGACTAGAATCCAGGTCTTCTAATTACAAGTGCAGAGCTCTCGTTCCGCTAAACATGCCATCTTCCTTTTTTAAATTCATTTTTGTGGCAGACGGGTTTGCTAAAAAAGCACAAATTCTTACAAATATTTAAAACATACTGTTTCTAGCTTCCATCCAAATAACACTGAATGTTGACTTACTCTATGCCTGAGCTCCTAAAGACATATATTTGACTATTGACAATGACCTAGTTTAAGTAGACTGAAGGTTTCAAAAAGCACTGAGACAACAAACAAATAGATTTTAGGCAATTACTATCCTGGCAGCACTACCCTAAATTCTGGAGTTATCGTGATGAGCAAAATTAGTCCCATGCTTTCTTGGAGCTGTCAGTCTAGAAGAGAAGAAAAACATTAAACAGTTCATTACAAATAATTATAATAGCGTTATGTTCTTTCAAGAAATACAAAAATGAATTTTAGAACTGGAAAGGAACTTGAGACTGCAGAGTATATTCACTATATTTTGTTAAATAATACATAGTTTGTTTTCACATATATAGATATATGTGTATGTATGTGCATATGTACATGTATATAGTTAAGTGAAACAAGTTGCAGAATAATGTGTATAGTATGATTATACTTTGCTGAAAACAAAATTTTATATATGTGTACATATGTTTGATCTGTTTGTATGAACAAGGAGAGTTGTGGAAGGCTTAGCAAGCTGTTACTATTGATTACATCAGGAGGTCGATGTGTGGGTGATTAACTTTCTCTTTATACATCCTCCTGTTGCGTTGTTTCACTGGTTATAACAAGCATTTGTTACTTTTGAAGAACAGCAAATAAAGGGATCCTTAAAATTAGAAGGACAAAATGGGCAAGAGGAAAAGATATTAACAAGAATTCCTTTTAAAGAGTGCAGAGAACCAGTCTCTTGCCAAAAGGCATCAAGAAAGGACAGATAGAAATGGCACTCAGAATTCAGAGACAGTGACAAACAGACAATTAAGTACAAATTGGTAGTTATAAAAGAGTCACAGGGATGTACAGTACAGTATGGAGAATATAGTCAATGATAGTGTAAAAACTATGTACACTGTCAGATGGATCATAGACACATGGAGGTTATCACTTTGTGAGATGTGTAAATGTCTAATCACTATGTTGTTGTATACACCTGAAACCAATAAAAAATAAATTAAATGCATCTTATATCTAGTACAGGGAGGTTAACCAAACTAGAAGTATTGTTACAAGATGCTCTGAAACAGAATAAATCTAAGGATTTTCAACACCAAAAGCACTGTTAATGGGAAATTGTCTAAAAACCTAGTTCTTTACTTAAAGCAGAGCTTAAATATTCTTAGCATTGAAAGTGAAGTTAGTGAGATGATTAACTTGCAGTTAGGCAATTGCATTTTTAAAACACCATTGTACAGTGTAGCCCTAATTAATATCTGTTAAAATTAAGAATATTTATACACTTTGGCCCAGCAAACCCGTTTCAGGTAATCTCTGCCCCAGAAATTAAAGCACCAGAATGTAAGGCTAAATGTATAAGGGCAAATGCATTGTTGTTTATGAAATAGCAAAAGTGGGGAACATCCTCTAATAAGAGAATGGTTGAATTGATCATGGTACATCCATGTAGTGGAACATTAAGCATAAAATAAACATCTTATTTCAGTAACCTGCACTAAACATTTCACTAGACACACTAACCTTGTGGAGGAGGGTTGCTTATGAGTTTAGTTGCCTTCTTACCCAGTAGGTAAGTAAGGCAAGATCGCATTCAAAACTGAAACACTGCATTTTTGGTAAAGCGCTCTTGCGAAGTGCGTGCATTATTCAGCATGAGAAGTCATTAATTTCTAGTAATTGGCGATTCACTTGCATAGGAGCACTCACATTTTTTAAATCACTGCAAAGGCCTTTGGGAAATGAACATGGCTTTCTACAACAGTTCACTGGAATAATAAATATTGAAGGAATCTAAGATGGATTGTTCTCTGCATAACATCTTCTTGGAGTGTTAAAAATGTCTCCTGTGTTTACCAACATTAAGTACCTGTAGTATATGTACTTCTGCTCAGAGTTTCAACTGTTTATCTTCAATAAATAAATTTCCTTGTCTGAACAAATTCATTATTGTTTCTATTTGAGTACAGTTTGGTTCCTAAATGAATCTCATTTGTGTGTTCAGATATATTCATGCTTTCAATGTCATTTCAGAAAATTTTTCCATTTGATGGCCATCTGAGAGAGCTTTCCTTTTTTAAAAATTAACAAACCCACTTACCTGCCAACAAACATATGTTGTTTACAGTAGGTCAGGCACTGTGCTAAGTATTGTTTAATTGAAAAACTTTTTTTATTATGGGGGATTTCAAACATACAGAAATATAAAAGTTTAATGAAACCACATGTACTTTTGGGGAAGCTTCAACACCAATTCAAAGCCAGTCTTGTTGCATCTCTACCAATTCCAGATTATTGTGAAGCACCTCCAGGCCATGATGTCATTTCACTCAAAAACATGTCAAAATGTATCTATAAGAGATAAGGGCTTCTTAAAAAAATCCCACAGGAACACTAGACAACTAAAAAATAAATAATTCCTTAATATAATCAAACATCCAGTCAGTGTTCAAATGACCAATATCATGAATATCATGATTTTTTAATAATCTGAATCAGAATCAAAATAGTCTACACATTGTGTTGGTTTTTGTGTCTCTTTAGTCTCTTTTTAGTGTATAGGGGTTTTTTTTCTCTCTTTCTCTGTCTCCCTGCCTCTCGCCCTGCCCTTCCTTGGTATTTCTTTGTTAAAGAAATATGGTTGTTTGTCTTGTACATTTACCTACAGTCTGGTGCAAATGGCCTCATCCTATTTCCTTTAATATGTTTCTCTGTCCTTTGTGTTCCTTATAAACGAGTAGTTGGGTCAAATGTAGATTTGCCAGATTTAGCAAATAAGAACACAGGTGCCCAGTTAAAATTGAACTTCAGATAAACAATGAATACTCTTTTAGTATAAGTATGTCCCAAATAAAATGCATGGGACATACTAAATATTGCATGGGATATGCTTACACTAAAAAAAAAAATATTTGAAATGTAATTTTAATTGAATCTAAAATTCAATTTTAACTGGCCATTCTGAAGTTTACCTGGCATCTGTAAACCTAATCTAAAAGCTTTGATTCAGTTTCAATTTTTTATGGTGGAGTGTGGGGGCAAAATTACTTCAAAGATGGTGGCATGTGCTTCCTTCAGGAGCCACATGTCTGGTTGTTTCTCTTTTGATGATAGCTGCCATTGATGCTTAATGCCTACATCCATAATTCATTAGCGTTGCAATACAGTAATCTTCTAATTTTCCAAGGCATATTTTAAAAAAAATTTTATTGGGTAACAGCGCATTTTTTCCAGGACCCATCTGCTCCAAGTCGATGTCCTTCAATCTTGTTGTGGAGGGTGCAGTTCAGCTCCAAGTACAGTTGCTGTTTTCAGTCTAGTTGTCGGGGGCGTAGCCCACCATCCCATGTGAGAATCATTGTTCAGAGCGCTGCTCTAACCAACTGAGCCATCCGGCAGCCCACCAGCAGTGCAGTGGCAGCTCGTTGTCTTCAATCTAGTTGTGGAGGATGCAGCTGGCTGGCCCATATGGGACTCGAACCAGCAACCTTGTTGTTCAGAGCATGTGCTCTAATCAACTGAGCTAACCAGCTGCCCCCAAGGCATATTTTTAAGAGGTAATGTAGTGGTTAAGAGGTCAGTCTCTGGCATAGGAAAGACCTGATTTAAGCTATAGCTCAGTGGCTTACTAGTTGTGTGACGAGGGGAAAGTTAGTTTACTTTTCGCAGCCTTCGCTTTCTCATCTGTAAAACAAGGCTAACAATAGTACCTATTTCTTAAGGTTTTTCAAGGATCAAATGAGTGAAGGTATGTGGAGGATTTAGAACAGTAAATGCTCATTAGAACTAGCTATTATGTCTAATGGGACTATTGCATTGTGGCCTTTCAAATTCAGATTTTCCAATATTAAAAACTTTAAATCCTCTATTCAACAGTTAAGTTATATTTTC